CCAATAAAATGTAACAAATTCTACAATTATAATTAAATCTCGAAGTTCATAGTTCTCTATAGAAACCAAAATACTAAATTCATCAATTCCTCTAATAGCACCTACTATTAAGGCAAAATCTACAGCAAATATAAAATATAATAATATTTGTCTAAAGAAAAAATTTCTTGCCAAGTTCCATTTAAAATCAATCATTGCGGCTATTGAAGGATTATCATAAATTTCTGCACTATTTTCATTTCTTATCATTCGTAAGAATGGACTCATTTTTTCCTCTTTTTTTATCATATGCCCACGTGGCCAAATTGGCAATTTTAGGAATTTCAAAAAAATCATCCAGCATCCTTTTCGTTTATTATCAATTCCTTCAGGATACAAAGTGAAATCTGGGAGGGGAACCATGTAAACTTGATTAGGAGTGGTAGTAGATTTTGTCCTAATTATATTTGAAATCATCCTTTTTGAAATAAAAAATTTTATTTAAAATGTTAATTTTGTTAAAATATTTTATTTTGTTTATTGATTATTATAAATATTACCTTTATTTACTCTGAAAAAGTAGTTTTCGCAAAAAATTACCACCTTCCTCTCTCTTGGAGAGAGAAGTATCCACTTTTATTGCATGTATATTTTTATTATTGTATTTGATAATATCCTTTAGAACCTTGCTACAAATATTGAATTGTTCCAAGCAAACTTCATTAGATCCAAAACAAGGTTTTTGAAATAATTTTTTAACATAAAATATTAATCGATATTCATAGAGTAATGGAATTCCTTTAACAACGGTAAACATCCAATTAGGAGTTTTTACGGCATTATCTGAATAATAATCTAATAAGTACTTAATTATAATTGTATCTTTACGATGCTTTTTATTTGTACATTTAATAGCAATTTCAAGATCAGTTTCTTTAATTTTTTTGTTCCATGAATAACATCTTGGAATATGTAGGTATTTACTTTTTCCACCATTGGATTTGGAAGATAAAATTTTTCTGATGATGGAAACACGATTACCACGAATAAGATTTACCATAATATCAAAACGTATATCTAACAGTCTCCATAATCCACACTTTTTAAAGAAATACTTTTTAATAATAGATTCAGTTTGTTGGATTAAATTTTCAATTTGAAGTTGTTTCTTTAAATCAGTTGATTCACTCCTTATTTTTTCAAGGAATTCTAATGTTTGACTTGCATCTACTGGAGTATTAACTTTTTCAGGCCATTCAAACTCAATTTCATTACCAAGTTGAGAAGGCGAATTTCCAGAAGGTAAATACAATTTTAAATAGAATCCATTATATCCAACTTTTAAATGTTGAATTTGAAATTGTTTATGTTTTTCTGTATGCTTGTTTGCCCAAATATATTCGAGAAACTTTGAAACACTTTTACTTTTACACCATACTTGAACAGTTGATTCTCCAATAATTAATTGAATAGATTTATTATCATCAAGGTATACTGAAATACGTTTGTATCCTTTATTATATAACCATGGTTCGGGATTTTTTATGATAATTCTTTTATTATTTTCAAAATTAAAGCATAAATGTTTTCCAAAAGAATCATAAATCAAATGATAATCCGTTACAAATGAGGAAGATGATGTCAAGGAATCATCTACTATCGAGTGAATTCTGTCAAATATAATGATGTTTCTCATATTATTACTTTCGGAACTTAATAATTTAACGATTTCTGATTCTTTCAATAGAGAAATAATAGCTCCGTTTTCTGCTATAGTAATAAGATTTCCAGAAGAATTAACCAACCTTTGAGGATATTCATATTTTGTAGGAAAGAGTGAAGAAATATCATTCATCCTTCTAACACAATTATCGGAGCAATCAAATAAATCCCAGATTACAATAATAGGTGTAACATCAATTCCTTCAGTTTCATTATTGTATCTTACTTTTTCAATGACAATTAACAATTTACTATCATCCTGAATAAAATCAAAAAAAAGTATTTGAATATTTTTTTTCTTTAAATTTCCTTGTGGTAACTTTTAAACCATTTTCCATTAAAAAAATTGTAATACAATTTGCACCATGACAATAAGCAAAAAGAGTTTCATTATTTGAAATACTAAAGCAAGAAGGACCATTTCCTATAATATATTCTTCAAATTTTTGAAAAGTGCTTTCTAATGAATTCGTTTTAAAATTATACATTTCAACAGTTTGTACCTTGTCTTTACAGTCTTCTATAACAAAACGTCTTTTTACTAAACTTCGTTGAATAAAAAACCAAATTTCATTTACTGGCAACCTTTTTAATTTGTTTAAAAACTTTGTTGGAAAATTGAAATTTTCGATTGCTTCATTAGAACGAAAGAAATTAAACCAATCATTGTTGTGTTTTTTCTTAATCATATTTTTAATTTTTTCATTTTTTATTAAAAACCTAGTGATTCCATTCATGTTAATAAGAATTATTTCAGTAGAATCTTCATCTTTATTATCTAAAAATTTAACTATACCACCTATATTATTAATACTTGAAAATAATCTTGATTGTTGTGCCGCAGAAATAATCCATGTAGACTCTAAATTCGTTTCGACGTCAGAATGATCTTCATATTTCATATTAGCGTTAGATCCAAAATGAGAGACTATAATTAGAACATCAACAGTCCCATCGGCTAAGGTAAATTCGTTGGATATCGATAAACTCCATTTTATTTTTTCCAAAGGCATATCAATATTTTTAAACCCAGAACAATTTATTTCGTGTGATCGTGTTAGATCATCAAATTTATATAATTTTAATTGAAGAGTTTCGGTGTTTAATGTTATTACTTGAGTGCCGTCTGAACTCGTAGCGACATATTGACGATCGTCACATGAGATTAAATGGCTTGAATCAAATGAATAAATTGAATTGATTTCTGCTTTTTCTTCATCATCCAATGAATATGATGATGATTTTTTATAGATTTGTGGGAATGTCATAATTATCAATATATATGATTAAAAAAAAGTCGTTAATCTCTATAACATCGTATTCATTATATTTATATATTTTATAATTTAAAGCAGAACATTTAATGTGTAACATCATTGACTCTTTTTTTGTTTGACGATTTTGGAATGCGATTTGTGATACAACCTTTGTTGATCTTATTTTGGGATACAGAGCCACGTGTTTGCTATTAATAAATTTCTTGCTCAATCTACATCTAGAAGATTTAAAATGAAGCTTTTAAAAAGATAATAATGATAAATAAATCAAGAAAATATGATGATATCTTTATGCAGCAATTTTCATTGTATATTTCTTGCACAGCCGAACTGTTTATATAAATATACTTCCAAATTAGGCACTAATTTTCTGACTTAAATTTGGCCTTAAACTTAGTTTAAACAAATGCAACTATATATGATTTTCGTAACATATAATAAAGAATTAATAAATGAGTCTGTTACAGATTTGAAACTCATTTAAAATAAGTTATTTGTGCTCAAACTCATTACGTTTTATTTCATTTATTTTCTGACCAAAACCAAGCTAGTAAGTTTCGTACTTTGCAACATAAGCTTTTTCTACGTCAGTTACTGGTCAGTAAAATTTACAGGATCCATAGACTCTTGTTACCGAGCGATAAGATCATTATAAAAAGTGCGTATATGAATTATGTTCTTTATTAAAATAAAATTGACATTCGTCTTGACTTGGTTAAAAATTCTTTGTAAAAGTTAGTTAATAAATAGTTAGCTTCTCGTCCCTAAATTCTTACTCAAATTTAGCAAATCTCTGAAAGACGATTGGCTAACTTGATTTCCTGGGTAACAGGTAACGGATGAAAAAATTTTATTTATTTTTTCAAGGTAACTGATGATTGGACAAAATGGAAATCACATGATCAAATAAATCCAATTCACCACATTTACATAACCAGCTACATAATCCGCACGGGCTAACTATCGACTATGTATTTATTTATTTGGCCTTAAAGACACAGAATCATACGTATTGCTCAAGTTTTGTTTGAAAAATACATATGAGAATCACTTACAGTATGTTAAATTACGGATGATACAAGATCATAATGATATTCACTTTGAGCATAACAACGTTGGTTTCACTGAAATTAGTTTCTTATTTAGATTCTCAATCATAACTTTCAATAAACCAAATGAATATAATGCTTTACAAACTTAATTCGTGATCCGCCAGTAAACCATAAAATTTAAATTAGTAACAATAGGTGAAAGTTATATATAATTTTATTAGTAACGCAGAATCTGCAGTTCCAGCAATGCAAGGTACCAATTTTTTAAATGTAATATAAAACCTATCTTTATAAGCATATAAATAATATGCTATTTGACTATCTTTTTACCAAAAATCTGGTAAATTTTTTAAGCACTAAAAGACACTTTACTAAGAGCTGAAATATTAAATTTAAAGAAATCAAAATTTGGAAACTTAAAAATATTTAAGGATAACTTGCCATCCAGTAATTGCAAAAGGATGAAATTCAGCTCATTGGATTCCTCTCATCAAGACGCATCTAATAATAGTAATTTCATGTCTCTGGAATCAATATAAAGTCAAGTTACTTTCCGGACATTGTAGATTCCAAATTATCAATATACTACTTATCACCGCCAAATTTTATGGTTACTGGTGGATTACAAATTAAATTATTTGTTTATATCACTTTGAAATAAAGATATTTGATCCGAAAAATGCTTGTTATGGTACAATTTATGCTAAATAAATGACAACCATGTACATAAAAATTACATTTTCAAAGAATTTGCCGTCTGTGTGACCAAGAGTTCAAAATAAACATACATAATATCAGATAAAATTCTAATGTTTAACATTAAGAGGTTGCAGCCAGAAGCTATTAATCCGAAATGTACGAAGGACTATATTTCTACGCTAAGGATATCACTCCGTTGTCCATCTGGCACGTGACGACACGTAGTGAATAATAAGCAGGGCGATTCAAATTTTAAAAAATGGATAATTATCTCGGTTAGTATAGTGGTTAGTATCCCCGCCTGTCATGCGGGAGACCGGGGTTCAATTTCCCAACCGAGAGCCATTAATCGGTGTGCGTAAAGTAGTTTCTTTTATAAGACTCTACTCCTTCTCACGATCCGTTATCAGGATTGAGGCCCGGTTGTTTTTACAATTAGGTTATAGTGTTATTTTTTTTAATTTTAATTTAGATTTTTTTTATTTCTCTTTTTCTTTTACTGTAAATGTAAATAACATTGGCTCGACCCCTCAATAAATAAATAAATAACAGATAAATAAATAAATAAAAAATGGATAATTAGTAAATTATTTTATTTACTGTACGTTTCTTGTTAATTTTAACGCTTGATCCTACTTGTCATTTTAATCATATTTATTTTATTTTTATTAAAATCCATCTTCTATTGGTCAACTTTCATATGTTTTTTTGTTTTTATTTTTGTATTTCTATGTAACTAACTTTCTTTAAATATAAAAAATAAGATGAAATAAATTCCTAAAAGATCAACTTTCACGTAATCTATACATTTTTTTTTAATGAACTTTAATATGTACTGTCTTTTTAAAATATAATTCTTGTAACAAAATTGTTAATAATTTGACATACGTGTACGCTAGAGACATGATTCTACATTCATCTAAAAGAGGAATAATTCATCCAATATTAATTTTCTAGTTTCTAGTTTGTTCATTAACATCTTTACATATAGAGATCAAATTAAGTGATCTTTGATTTCAAATTTAGAGTATAATTTGCTCCTTTAAATTAACAAAAAACTATAATTAAAATGAACACTATATCACTATCATTAAGATCTATTATATAATATTTCTTACCAATAAAATCCTTTATACAAATTCTTATATTCTATCCCAAAGAAAATTGTTTACTGTCCAAATTTAATAAAATAAAACTAGAACTGTTTTTAAAAGAGAAAAAATAAAATAGTTTATTTGAAAATGTGTCAAACCAACCTTAAATATATCTGTTTCCTTTGTTATAATTTTTTTTTATTTTCTTCTTTTTTTAGTTTATTATAAGCTAAAGAAAAGAGTATGTATTATTATGAGCCATAATAGGTGATTTATCTTAATTTATATTTCTACAATTAAACAGCATTTATCTTTAAAATTGTTTTTTATAAAAAAATCGTAAGTGATCGACAAGACATTGTGACCAGTAGACTGTCAATTAAAACATTTAATTTATTTTACACGTATCACTCCTTTTTCTCTTCTTAATTCTTGAAAGTATTTTTAATCTAACTTGAGCCTTTTGATATCCTTGTTCAAAAGATTTTGTGTACCAATTAATTGCTTGATCAATATTTTTTACAATACCATCACCATTTTCATACATTTCTCCAAGACCATATTGAGCCATAGGAATAAAATTCGCGGCTTTTTGATATAAATCAAAAGCTTTCTCATAATTTATATCAACACCTATTCCATGTCTAAAACATTGGGCAAGATCAAAAGTTGCTAAATAATTTCCATTGCTATCACCTTTTCTATACCAATGTACAGCCATTTTGTCGTTTTTATCAACACCTATTCCATTTTCATAAAAATAACCGATTTTTGTTTGTCCAATTGCATGATTTTCATCAGCAATTATCTGATAATATTTAAAAGCCAATTTTTCATCCTTTATAATTCCGAGTCCATATAAATAACATGCTCCTATATAATATAATGCCAGCGTGTGCTTTTGTTTTGAAGCTTTAGCGTTCATAAATAAATAAAATGCGAATTCAAAATTTTTAGGTTTTATAATTCCAATAAAGTTAAAGTATCCCAATAAAAAAATATCATTCGAATTATTTTGATTATTTAATAACCAATTATAAATTTCTTCCTTAGTAATTTTATTATTTTCAAGATACTCAAGAACATGTTGCTTTCTTATAGATGAGTTTTTTCCTTTATTTAATAACTTTAAATAAAATTTTACTATTTCATCAACGTTCCTACTTAAATCCTTTTCATTTGACGTATCAACGTTTCTACTTAATTCCTTTTCATTTGATGTTATTACTTCACTTATATTCATTGAATAATAAATACTTAATGATTTGATCGTGTTTGAATCAAGTTGTTCCAATTCATGTGTACTCATGTTGTTAAATTTTTCAATTAACTTAGATAAATCTCCATGTTGTGAACTATCCGAAGGAATCACGTTAAGTTTTGGTGGTGATCGAGCTTTTTCTGAAATAATATCTTTTAGCCTTGTAACAACTTCACTCGTAGTTGGCCGATAATATGGTTCCCCATTCCAACAATCTACAACAAAAACAAACAAAATACGCGCATAGATAAATATATCAGATATTAATATTAAATATAAAAAAAAAATATATATATATATATATTAAAAACAAATTTAGAGATTATTTTACCTGTATAAAGCTTGGCATAATTAGGAGGTGTACCTGGAACAATCTCTTCCCTTAAACCTTTCGAAATTTCTAAAGCTAAAGTAAGATCATATGGTTCACTAGAAAAGGGAGATTGACCACTTGATATCTCCCATAACAATATTCCAAGACTATAGACGTCACTTTTTTCATTTAATTTATATACTTGCGCACGGTTACTACTAAATTTTTTTGGATCTATATAAGGAATTACACCAAATAGCTTATGAAGTCTGGATGATTCGTTAATTCTTTTTGATAATCCAAAATCGGCTAGTTTAATAACATCTCGATGAATGAGTATATTAGCAGAATTCTATATAATTAAATAGGTAAATTAATAAAAGAATTTATAGATTTTAAAATAAAAAAAATTAAAAAAAAAAAAATTTAATAAATTACCAGGTCGTTGTGTAAAATTCCTTCATCATGCAAACATAAAACAGCGCAGGCTATCTGATAAGCCAAATTATACTTATCATTCCAAGTAAGATTATCGAAATTATACTTTAAATAGTTTCTAAGATTTCCTTGGTTTGCGTATTCCAAAACTAATAAATAATCTTTCACTTTTTTATTTTCTAATTTTTTAAAACAAAATTATAAGGCATAATTACATATATTTATAATTTTTTTTTTAAAAAAAAAAAATTTTAATTTTAAATGATTCGTTTATCATACCTGAAATGAATTTTGTAATTCCATAAAATCTAATGATATTATCATGAAAGTCTACTTCACGCTGTAATTTGAACTAATGAAATATTACGAGAATAATATTAAAAAATATAAATATCATAATTAATTAATTATAATACCAAAGAAAAAAATTTACCTCATGGACTATTTCTTTAATAGTAATGTTGTTTAGGTTAAAAAAAGATTTCAAGGCAAAATATTGGTCAGTATTTTTCCATTTCGCACGGGACACTTGACCGAATCCTCCAGAACCAATATCTTGAATATCATTAAAATGTTTATAATCATAATATTTAATGAGTTTCTTAGAAATAGCATCTTCAATCCAATTAACCAGCTCATTTTCCTTATTAATTTCCATTTTATTTTATTTATATTATATTATTTTATTTTTTTTTATATAAATAAAATAGGTCAGAGAAAGAAATTTCCTATTTATTTACGTAAGTTGCCGATATTTTAAACCTTTTTATTTGATAACGTGATGGTTACATTAAATAATTGGGGCAAAATTTTGCCGATGCATTACGAGAATCCAAATAAGGATAATCATTTGGCAGTGTGTAACGTGTCACAGTAGCTGTTATGCATTAAACATGATTCAGGGCTTGATTATATCATCAAAACTAAGCTATATTGGTACAAAACGTTTTGGGTCATTGATAGACAAACTTTATCCAACTTTAAATAAACTATGAGATGAGATCATTTAACTATTCATGGCTTAATTCTCTTATCCTGGTGTAATACTGCGTAGTGGTACTAGATTTTTATTGAAGAATTGAATTGTTACTAAAATATTAATTCCTCATCTTTAATAGAGTATGTAATAGAATGTATTAATTATAATCATGTCAGATTTATTTGGAGAATCGGTACATACTACACATTATGTTTATCATGTCTTTGACGAAGATTTTATATTAGTTGAAACTGCAATAGAATTTTCCGACATTGGGGCGCATTTAACTTACCGATAATTACTTCGCCAACAATCATTTCACCGACAACACAACGACAGGATCGTCTCATCGACCGACATTTACGTCATTTTTAAATATCACTATAAAAAATTTTTTTTTTAGTAATAATCCGTATATCCGCATTTAGTAATTATGACATACATGTATATAGCCTCAAATTTTATTTAAAAAGAAAAACATATTTAGTATAATATACCAACTTTTTTATTTTCAGATTATTTCTCTTCTTATTTTGTTTTTTTTTAATTGCAAAGTTGTTCTTTGATTCATAATGAATATAAGATCAATGTTAACTGCTTCATACTTTTTACTAGAAATTTTTCTTTCTTTTTTTCTTTTTTTATTATAAAATATTTTAACATAAAAATAGCTTTGCACTGGCAACGGCGAAATGACAAACCGAATTGATCCTAACGATGAAACATTTGCCAGGAAAATTCACCTATATATATATATATGTAAGAACGAACGAATAAAATTTTTAGATTCTCTTGCAAGGGTCATTTTTGAATTATTGAAGGTATTTTGTGAGTATAAAGGGAGAAAAGGAATAAAATGTTATCAAAAATAATAGAACGAATTACAAGATTTTTTTTTATACTAAATATGCAGGTGAACGGCTTTGATTTTCATTTATATTTACTATTTATTTATTTTATATAGCGATAAGAGCTCCTCGTCAACTAAAAGAACAAAATTAACAACCTAATATAACTATATATATGTTCTAAAATTAGAAGTACGAAGCTCCTAGAGAGACTGCCATCGCCTTTCGAAAAACGCTTAGACAGGAGCCAGCTCACACTAAAAAGAGAGAAAAGAAATAGTCGATCTAATCTAAAGTGCCATGTTATTTTTTCACTTCTAACGAAATGCTACGTGTAAATACTGTCAGATGTAGAACGATGTATAGAAGAAAAGGTCGAAATTGGTTTAAAAGAAAAATTACAATGATA